CATTTCAAAATTTTAAGAAATTGAGACGTAGAAGAAGGGTAAAGGATGTGATCTCCATTTTCTTGGCCGGAACGATTTAAGTGTTATTTAGAAAAATACAAAGAATACTAACCAACACGTGAATAGTTCTGAAGCTTGACCAGATACAAAGAATAATATTTGTGTAGGAAAGTTGTTGGTCGGTGGCTGCTTGACTATTCGAGCATTTTCCTTTCTCCTATTACTAGAGTGGGGTAGTTGGTTTTGATTTGACAAGGGTCGAATACCTAGTCGAAGGTCCAGTACATTAAATAAGAGGCATTTTCACTTCAGCTCCAGAGCGGAAACGATAGATGATGCATCATCCTTATTACTATGTACGTTGACCAAATTTAGAGACATAATTGAGTCTTTCTCATCGAAAATAAATTTATTAATTAAATTAGTTCGTGTAAGAGAACAAAACATAATTTAATGCTTTATACCATAATTCAGCCATTCAAGAATTTAATAATAAATAATAAAATAATCCATGATTATGTGATTTTAACGATTACATTTATTTTTATTTATATTATTAGTTGGTGGGTTATTGACTAATTCAATATCTTAATTTATAGTATACTAGAATGCAATAATTAAAAAAATTATATTTTAAGTTAGGATACGTTATTATTCAAGGGAGACATTCATACTAGCTATAAAAAAAATGTTATTATTATTATTATTATTATTATTATTATTATTAAGACCCTATAATTTTGAAAATTGCATTATAGCCCTTGTTTTAAAGAAATTCGATGTGACAAGTTTTTTTTAATATTTTAATTATCTTAAAATAATTTCAAACAATTTTATTTTATATTATATTCCATTTTTAAATTCAAAAACTATTCCCACGTACAAAATTTCAAAATGATGTACATTAATTAATAATGTGAAAATTCGAATAAAATATTCAAATCAATTATTAATTTTTAATATTTACCCCTCATAAGTCACAATCAATCATCTATATTTTATTTATAAATCTTGAAAGATTATTATTAAATAGTATCTTAATTTATTAATTATTGAGAAAAATGAAGAAAACAAATAAAATAAAATTTAAAAATAAATAAATAAATAAAGTGGCGTAACCGGTTGGAGTGGACCGATCAACGAAATTGTTCGGTTTGGAAGCATTAGAGAGTTGGTGGATGGAGGGTAAAATAGTAAATATTCAACGTCGGAAATTTCAAACAGAATTTTGGCGTTCACCGTTCAATTCTGTTGAGTTGCTTTTAAGAATATCGTTTTCTTCGGTGTCGTTTTTCATTATTATTTACTTTTAATACATTATATTAAATTTTAGTCATTAATAATTTTGACTTAAAAGTTTATTTATCTTTTCATAAAAAAAAATAATAATAAATTTTTGAAACCTTTTCAATTTGGTGACGGAAAGATATTTGACCACACGTTTTAAAATTCACAAATTTAGTAAACATACATTAAAAGATCATCGTTCCTTTATATACATAAAATTAAAAATGTATGTCTAATCCATCCATTTATTTTTAAAAATTTTAAATTTGTAAGTAATTTATTAGATATAAAAAGGAAAAATTTAGAAATTTATTTTAAAGTTAATTGAAAAGTCGGAATCAAATAAAGTTTAATAATTAAATTTATAATTTAATATTGAAACAAATTATAATTCATATTTTGAAAGTAACAAATTCAAAAATTGGATTTTAATTTAAATAATGGTTTAAAACGTGTGATATAATATATTTATAAATCATATATTAAATAGAAATTATTATTAATTAAATTATGAACTTAAAATTTTTGTATAATTATTATTTAAAATATAATATAAAAAAAATTGAGTTTATAACCCAAAATACCATATTTTTCAAATATTGTATTTTTTATATATAATTTCATTTTAAATTTTAATTCCAAAATTAAAATACAATAAAATCGTTTTTAGAGTTTCACCTAACTTCTCATGAATGGATAATTATTACACTACTATTTTATGGGCTAAAGTCCACACACCCACCAACCTAGCTATTAGACGAACGTGTCGACATATCTCATCCATATTTTTATATATTCATAATTTCGACATTCACGTAAGAGATAACTCGACATTTCTATTATTTTATAAACACATAAGTGTCATGTTCCATCTTTCTTAGAACTTAATAAGACGAGGATCACACAAGAACTTGTATTTTGAATTTGGTCGTACAAGGTTCAATATTTAGTAGGATTTATTTGATAATGAGGTAGTTCCGATGTCTCGTAGAGGTGATAAGGTGGTAGGATTTTTATGAATTTCTTATATTTAATATAATTTTATCGATATCCATCTAATATTTCTAACAAATTGAAACCTTGACTTTTGGCTCGTCTTAAACGCAAACCAACTTGAAATTTCCGAACAAATTATTTTATTAAATATTGAAATTTATTTATTTATTTTGAATTTGCATAATAATTTTAAAGAAGGTGAAGAATTTAAGGGTTGTTGGTAGGCGATTTAATTCCTACGTCATGATTTATGAGTTTGTGTTCAAACAAATAGCCAATATAATATATAACATAATATTTATTTATTTATTTATTGTATAGTATTTATTTTATTTTCAATACCCTAATTATGAAAAAAATTATTTATGGAAAAACAAGACAGATTTTGTCATAAAATAGAGTAATAGGTATTTAGCACGTGGGAATTAGGGCTTTGTTGAGCCCATACAAATAATTCCATTCATAAATAATGTAGGAATAGGTAATAAATACGTTAAATATTTTTATCTCTTTCTTTTTAATAATATATAATTATTCAATTTCATGACTCTATATTTTTTAATTTATAATAATTTATCCTTTGGAAATTTCATTCATATTAAATTTAAATTTTTATTATTTAATGATTTAGTTTTATAATTTAGACCTAACATAAACCTGACTAATCAATTTATCAAATCTCCTTAAAATTTAAATTGTGAAATTGTTCTATTTTTTTTAGTACAATAAGAATAAGATTATATATTTATAATTTATTATATATTTATTATAGTTATAATTAATACTGAAAATTATAATTAAGAATAAGATTGATTAATCAAATTTTAATATATTTTTTTTCTTTTTTTAATTATTTTTTGTGAGAAAATTAAACGTGAAAAACGTGGTAAAGACACGTGAAAAGTGATGGAACTCTTTAGATTTATCCCTTTCCTATACCATCAGTTTTTCCATTAAACATTTATTTATTTTTGTTCATTTACCATTTTTATTTATTATTAATTCTTTAATTTTGTATCTACAAATTAGTGTATAATTAAAAAAAAAATTAAATTTGTAAAATTTAAAAATTTAATGGGAAGTAATATAACTAAAATATTGATTACTTATAGATCTAATATTAATAGTAAAAATAAATATTATACTCATTTGAAAGAATTTCTTATATTTATAATTTTTTAAAAAAATAGGTATGAATTTCAATCGAAATTTTGTGTTCATATTTTTATCAATATCTTTTTAAATTTGTAATGTTACATTTACGTTAATATCAACATTTAAAATTTTGATTCGACTAAAATGCTTAACACATTTTATTATTATTGGAAGCTATCATATCCGGGTTGTTACGATTTATTATTTATTTAAAAATTAATTAATTATGTTCAAAATAATTATTTATTAATATATATATATATTTATTGTAAAATCCTATGGGAGTTTGAAATGGTATGCCGTTGACCGTTTGACTATGGCTTGTACCGTTGAATAACTGTACCATTATTTGACCGAGCTATATTTCTTGTGTGTTTATTCTTGCCATTTGCATTTTTTTAAACAGAAATTTCTAATTTCATAATCTTATTTATTATTTTTGGGAATTTTTTTTTTTTTTTTTTTTGTTTATCGTTGTATTTTAATATAACGAATCAATTTGATAGATGTCTATTTTTTTATGGTTAAAGTCAATCCTATAGTATTTAATTTTTGTCACAGGTATTTTCAAGGTACCCTACAATATCATTGTTATAAACGGTACATTTCAACCAATTAAACTATAAGCCTTCGAAGAGATCAGACGGAAGAGAAGTCTTTGCTTTCTATTGTTTAATACATATATTATGAATTAGAATAAGATAATTAAGCAAATGACCCTTTTGCAACACTTTTCGACTCTATTTTTCATTTTTGGACCTCGTTTCTGAATATTGTGACTTTTTCATACTGGGTTTTGGGAAACTTTTCAATATGGTTTGGTCCTATCTAGTAAAGAAAGTGAAGGGGAGGGGACAACAATTGATCCATGTCATTCCTTATTTAAAGCAAGTTGTAAGGTCCGAAGAACCTTAGCCCCTACAGTTCTATTTCAAAAACTGAAAGCTGACTTGCGATGGCTCGTTTTTCTTATTAGATGTTTTTGAGCCTCCATTGATGCAAATATATAAAAATAGAAAATCAAATTCATATTTTGATACATGGAATTGAAATTACCGTTCAAGTGGCACAATGTTTACGTAAAACCCACAGTATATTAAATCTACTGTAATTGGGCCTATAGTCCAATTTAGACTAAATTTGTAAACTGGGTTGGGCTCAAATAAATTGAGTTAATTGGGCCTAAGGTCCAAATAAAGGTTGGGCCCAAGCCCAAGCCCACGTAGATCCTGAAGTCTTGGAGGACTAAACCTTCCTCAAGTTCATGAGAGAGATAATCGAAGAGCCAAGTATAGATATTATAAATATAATTAATTGGATTTATTTAGTTTTTTATATTTGAAAATTAAATTTATGAATATCATTTTCCTATTTTGCTGTTAGGAGTGTTGTTAACATTTAAATTATATTTTGATAATTTAAAAAATTATTTTTATTTTTTAAATTGTGTGAGAAATCAAATATTTATATATAAATATGAAAAATCATAACTAAGGATTAAAAAAAAAAAAAAACAGAGGACTTTGATTTATGAGGTCATCAAGAGGTTAAAAAAAAGATAAAATAAAAGAAAAATGGGAAGAAAACCTAACTCTTCCTCACCTTCCCCCCTATTCCTCATGCCTCAGCCGCCTGAGAGGCGTTTTCCGACATCTCCACTTACCGGCGGCGGACTCCGACCAGAGAACATTGAGAAGGCGGCGAGTCACTGTTGATCTTCGCTGTAGCTTAACTGATTGGCGTCTCAGCGGCTCGCGAATTGCAACGCACACTCGCGCAGACCACGAACGGCTCCTTGCTTGTTCAGACGGCGAAGCACAGAGACGGGGTGGCGCTACTCGAATCTGATCTTTGACAGACTCGTTCCGGCGGTTCCAGCAGCGTGTTCCGACGTCTTCGCAGCCCGCGAGCGGCGGTCCCCTTCGGCAGCCACCGAATAGACCATCGGCGCGCGTTTGGATGCTGGATGAAAGTATGATTTAACCTTAAATCTTAAGCTTATATTTTCTGTATGGTTAGGTTTATGGAACAGTTTCCTGGTTGATTCTCACTAAAAAGTGTGTTACTTAGAGGGGCCTCAGCCTGGATTACTGCAAATTCGTTCTCTGACGAATCGATCTAACGATGAAGCAACTATGGAAGTTCTCTGTTCGTCGTAGGATCTTAGTAAATCGCAACATTTTTGCTCCATTTTCCTTCTCACTCGCTAACAATTCAAATTATGACATGTTTCATCATGGCCTCCATACTCAATCCTGCTCTTCCTCGTCGCCTGTGCCCTCAATCTCTTCGTTTTCGCTGCTTCCTAATATTATTGAATTATTTTCCAACAAGCCTTCTGACCAAGACCTCTTGGTGAGAAGTATTATGCAAAGGAAGGTCACGGAGGTGATGCATGAACTGATTCAGAACGCCGAGGATTCTGATAAGATTGTGAAAGTATTGGAAGACAATGAAGGCTTCCTCTTACGGAGACATGCTGACAGTTCTACTTTTGTCGAGTTGCTAAAGCAATTGGGTTCACAGCCTCACTTGGCATTGGAGGTGAGTTTAATTCTGCATACTCTTAAGAAAATTGCTTCATATGAGTTTCTTAATTGTATGTTTATGTGGGAATTGCTTACATAATTGTAGTTTGTATTAAATCGTTAGAAATGTTGAAATTTCATTAAAGTAGAATTGTTATTTTTGAGGCTTAATATTATATAATGTTTGTTAGATGAACACGACTCTCCACAATAGTATGATATTGTCCACTTTGAGCATAAGCTCTCATGGCTTTGTATTGGGTTTCTCCCAAAGACCTCATACCAATGGAGAGTGTATTCTTTGATTATAAACCCACAATCATTCCCTAAATTTACTGATGTGGGACACTTTCATCTAACAATGTTGACATAAAGTTGTATCATCTAATCCCCATTTGAAATCAAAAGTTCTGATAGGCCTTATATTTTCAAGTAACTTGGTAATCATGTACAAGATCTTGATAAATAATTTGACGATACTAAATTTCTGATCAGCTTATTCTTTTGCACTTAGGTGTTTAATTGGAGAAGAAGGCAGGAAGGTTCCTTTCCTTTGACTGCTGAGGAATATGCTAAGAGTATTACTGTTGCGGGTCGATCAAAAAATGTTGACCTTGCTGTTGAGTTGTTCACCAAGGCTTCTAATAAGAGGGTCAAGACAACCTCTATTTATAATGCATTGATGGGTGCTTACATGTATAATGGCTTGGCTGACAAATGCCACTCGTTGTTTCGAGATCTTAAAACGGATGCAAATTGTGTTCCTACCATTGTAACATATAACATCCTACTATCGGTATTTGGTCGGTTGATGTTAGTTGATCACATGGAGGCTACCTTGCGAGAAATACATGATTTGGATCTCTCCCCTAACGTGAGCACGTACAACCATCTAATAGCTGGGTATGTTACTGCATGGATGTGGGATAAAATGGAGCAAACATTTTTGAAGATGAAGGCAAGTTCGGTAAAGCCAAACACGGACACTTTTTTGTTAATGCTTCGTGGATATGCTCATTCTGACAATCTTGAAAAGATGGAAGAGATGCATGAGTTGTTAAAGGATCATGTCGATGAAAAGAATTTCCCTCTTATTAGAACTATGATATGTGCATACTGTAGGAGTACTATAGCAGATAAAGTGACAAAGATTGAGGCTTTGTTGAAGCTTATTCCGAAAGAAGAATATCGACCATGGTTGAATGTGTTATTGATAAAAGTCTATGCTCAAGAAGATTGGTTAGAGAGAATGGAGAGTTCAATAAATGAGGCATTTGAGCATGGTACTTCGGTAAATACTCTCCATGTGATGCGCTCCATTATAGCCAGTTATTATCGGTGTAATGCAGTGGACAAGCTAACGAACTTTGTAAGTCGTGCTGAATGTTCAGGTTGGAGAATCTGTCGGTCTTTGTATCATTGTAAAATGGTTATGTTTGCATCAGAAAAGCGTTTCGAAGAAATGGAGTCTGTACTCGACGAAATGAAAAATATGAACTTAGATTGGACGAAAAAAACATTTTGGATATTGTATAAAGCCTACTCATTAAGTGATTGCAGGTACAAGGTTGACCAAGTGGCGTGTTATATGTGCAAGCTTGGGTATGGGATTCCCTCGGATTTATCTCTGTTTTGACGTTCTCGGATCGAAAGAATGAAAATTGACTTATCCAATTGTTCTTATTGGTTTTTCTCATGAATAAGTGCAGAACCCAGATTTCTGAGATATCTTAGGTAAGCATCATGTCTCATTTTTACTATCAGTCACTTTATTTACCTTGCTTGCTTCGCTTGCCTATTACTTGGACTGTTTGTTCCATTATATATATATGACACTCTTTTACTCTCCCATTCTTATTATTTGGGTAGTTGGTGGATTATAAAGATTTTGGGTTCTAATAACAATTTAGTTCTAGTGGATAAAAGGGTCTAAAAACTCTATTTGGGTAAACTGGTTCAAGATCCTAAAATGGGCATTTGCTTTTACCCCCTTGTGAAGTTTGTTCTTTATTTTGTTCTTGCTCCACTTCAATGTACTCTTCTTTTTAATCTTTATTGGTTTACATTTACTTTCTATTTCAGAAAGCTGAATGAGAGATATCCTAACTTTTACTTACCTGCTGTTGGGAACTATGTAGCCAAGTTTTCATATATCTATCTTATACTATCTCTAGAAATTAGACCAGAAATTAGACCTTATCCCTTTGTAGATATGTTTGGATTAGTTAGTGCTTGTCTGCTGTTGGGATTAGTTAGTTGGGATTAGTTAGTGCTTGTCTGATCTTGTAATGGTTCAAGTTCACTGTTAGTATATATTGTCATCTTTGGGCTTTCTCTCCAAAATTTTAAAACGCGTTGGCTAGGCTGAGGTTTTCACACTCTTATAAAGAATGTTTTGTTCTCCTTTCCAACCGACGTAGAAAATTTTACGTACTTGTTTGTTTATTTTGTTTGGAACAGTTTTGATGCTTGCTTGGGAAAATTTTACGTACTTGTTTGTTTATTTTGTAGAAATCGAGCATTCGAAGTGGAATAGAGATTATATCGAGATAATCGAGCTGATTGGACACGAGATGTGAAAGAGAATTTAATTTATGTCCTGAAGAGGCAGCATTTGCCCGAAATCTGTAAAGCATATGGCGCAAACCATGGTTGAAGCATGTGTGCACATTTTTTTTTTCTCTCACTTATGTTCTTTAACAAATTGAGATTTAAATATTTTCTTTTCTTATAAAATAAGATAATTACTATTATAGAACACTATTATTAATGTATTAAGTCATTTGTTGTCTTCCCTAAACATTTAACTTAATGTAATCTTAGTTCAATAATTTTGATTTGTTTTTGTGTCAAAATAACTTTAATATTTTAATTATGGTTTAACCATTAAAAAATATTAGATAAAATTATAAATGGCTTAGTACACTATAATTTTTCCGAAAGTAATTATTATTATTTTTATAAGAGGAGAATATTTAGAACTCAATTTTTTTTTTTTTTTTTTTTTTTTTTTTGAAGAAACAATTTAAAAAATATGTTATTTGCTTATTTAAATTAGTAACTTATTCCCGTATAATTTATATGATTTTCTTGAAATTTATTTGATTATAAATAAGGAATGTTATTAGAATTAGTTCTCACGAAATGATAAAATCATTATAAAATGGTATTGATTATAAGATTACTTACAAAGTTCTATTGAATTATAAATATGAAAATTGAACAAGTATTGCGCGTTGAAATTAAAAAAGTAATTTATATCTCCATAAAAGGAGGTTGACACGTATAAGATTTTAATAAATTTTAAGACCCTAGGGAAGATTTTAATACATTTTAAAACCCTAGGGAAAATTTTAATAGTATTATTAAGTTTAAATAATAAATGATTAATAAATTCCAAAAATATTTCTTAAAGAATCTATGTGAACCTCGCTTAACATGAAATTGTTCTAAATGAAATATATCTAACTCTAGAGTAGAAATGTTTATTGGAGTAGAACTAGAATGAAGAAGCTTTCCACGTTTTCAACTTCGCCTCTTATTTATTTATTTAGGTGGAAATTGGAACGGAGATCCCAATAAATTTTTTTCTATATAGGTAACATTCCTTTTAAATAATTTTTATTTTTCAATATAATTCCTATTAAAAATATAAAATATCTAAAAAAAAAAATTCATATAATTTTAAAAAAAATCAAAATTTAATATTACCATAAGTTTTCAAGTTTTTCCAACCATACTTACCTATTTTGATTTGGGTACGATTTCAGCTCATGTATGTACTTCTCCTACATCCAGACGTCAAAACCTCTGTGATAAGATAAGGAACCACTACAAGAGGAGTAAGATTCGGATTAGCTGTTGATCGAATATCTCAAGACTAGAACATTGTTTGAGATTCGAATCACTCCACAAGCAAGATCGATCATGTCTAGCTTGAATGATTCTTGTTGATCAAATATCTCAAGGCAAGAACACTTGCTTGAGATTCGAATCACTCCACAAGCAAGATTGATCATGTCGAGCTTGAATGATTCTACATGCAACCTAAACTACATAGAATTGCAAAGAAACTTAGCCATTGGCTAAAGAAGAGCACAAATGCTTCTTTTACTATATTTTTCAATTCTACTTACAAATACAACATACATGACTTTATATAGCCTCAAAAATGAAACTATTAAAGGCATTACAAGAGTTGTAACCTTCATACTTTATGCCCATAATTAGCCATTATGTAAATGTAACCTAAGGTAAATAAAATGTCTTAAAATATAATAACTCTAAATTACTCTAAATTATAACCCACCCAAAATTTATAACAATCAAACTTCATTCTTCTTCAATGTGGCATGAATTGAACACCTTTGGATAATTTTGACAACCTTTTCTTCACATCTTCATTGAAGTATATTGTATGATTGATGCCTTTTGGTTCATATCACTCTAGGTATGAAATTTATTAGAGAAGGTAGGATGGTTTGTAGCATTAAATTATGAGTACACTATTTAAGAAACAAATGCTCCATTATGTTGTTGAAGCTAAGCAAAATGTGGGTTGTTTTGATAGCCAAGTCTTGTTGTTTTAGGGTATTAATATGTAAAATCGATATATATATATATATCGTAAAAATAAAAGTTTACCGATTTAATATGCTGACTTGAGCATGGCTAGCTTATTCAGGTTAATACTGTACAACTCGAGTTCAACTACTCCTTCCTTCTTTTTATTTACTAATCGAAGGATTTTATTAAGGGTCTTTGAACCCAAATTTCAATAGTAGAAGAGAAAAATGCTTAAAATATATCTAGAAATCCAAGAAGAAAAAAAAAAAGTCAAAGTCAACTTTGAAGGGCATTTTAGTCATTATAGATCATTTTTCCCAATTATGAATCTTTAAGTAGCCATTATAATATTTCGTGAGGGGTATTTGTAGGGATTGTTAGGATATGTTAGTATTCGAGCCTAACTTGTCGTCGCTAGAATATGAATGTTTATGGCATTAGATAAACTGTTATGAAAAAGATGGTTCGTGGGGTCGAGGCTTCAACATAGACAAGGTTGAGACGATGGTCGTCTCGTAACATGATTGACTTGAAGGATGAGACTGCAACGGTAAGTTCACATGATATTTGATTTTACTTCAAAGAAGTTGATTAGTTATGATCAAGAAAGTTCATCTGAGAACTTGAGAGAGAATTTTGATGTCTTCATTAAGGGTTTGATTTCTTTACCTCTTAATTTTTCGGGAACCGCTCATCACAAGTGCAGACAGGTAACTCAATTATACTTGGGGCTATTTTTTAGAGTGATTTTGGAATGGTAAAAATTCCGTTCGAATCGATTCTATAAATGCTTGGGAACACATTTTTGACATCTTGAAAAAATTAATTTAAATTAAGGGGGTTCATATGCCAGATGACCTAAATGATTCAGACTATCCAACCCAAACTATAAAAGCTGGGTTGGGTTGAATTTTCGAAAAACAAGGTTTGATTTGTGGGTTAGAACTTTTTTAATCGGGTTAATCCAACCAACTCGAAAAAAGGTTTCACAACCGAACCTAACCTAACCTTATTTTTAAGATTATCATGAAAATTAAGAATATTTAACGGTCGTAATTTGTGATTATTTGATATTTGAATTTAATATGTATAGTAAATCAATTTAATTTTTTAAATCATTTTTTTATAAAATGAACAACTCCATGAACCAACCTAAAATTAGAAAGTTGGGTTGTGAACCCTATTCTCGAGTCATCCACTAGAAATTTTGGATTAGTCCAAAATTTTTCCTCAACCAAACTCAATCCAACCCATGGACACGCTTAACTTACAAATTTTTAAGGTAAGAGAGATTGATACTCGGTTTAAATTGGTTCACTCGATATAAGCTATGTCCAGTTCTCTACTATCCATGCATGTTCCACTAAAATTGCCAACAAGAAAATACAAGACTTCACCGTCGAGGATGATTTCTCTTATTTTTTTTTTTCAAGAAAAATGCTCACGAATCACTCAACAAAAACAACCCTAACCCTAACGGAGTATTGTTTTGTTATTCTTCGACCGGGTAGGAAAAGAACAATGAGGATGCTAAAAAACATGCTACAAGAAAGGAAGGCAAATCCAAGGAAACAACATAATGATTTTTTTGATTATGTTCTTGAAGAACTTGAAAAACATGGAACTCTTCTCACTCAAGAAATGGCTTTGGACTTGATGTTCTTTCTCCTTTTTGCAAGCTTTGAAACCACTTCACTTGCTCTAACTTTAGCCATCAAATTTCTTGTCGACCATCCTCGTGTCTTCGAACGAGCTAACGGTATCAACTTTAGAGCTCAATTTGACGAATCGACATACAAATGAATAACTTTTTGATACCTTCAAACGTTGTTAGGTTGAACATGAGGGCATCTTGAAGAAGAGGGACAAGGCAGATTCAGGACTTACTTGGGCTGAATACAAATCCATGACGTTTACTTTTCAAGTAGGTTCATGATCATTATTCTCTCTTGATTCACTTGAAATTTTCTTTTCTTTTTTTTCTTAATTTAACATAAATTGATGTCTTCCATTTGTAGTTCAACGCTGCGACTCGGAAATGTAGCTCGGTTGATATTTCGAGAAGCATTGAAGGATGTCTGAGTATAAGGGTATGAATTGAATTCGATATGACTTTTGGGAAAATGAAAAACGTTCCGGTAAAATGTACTTTTGGTCCCTAAAATTTGATTGATTGTACTTCATTATATTAGGGATGTTCATATGATCCAATAGCCCGACTAATCTGGATTACTCAACTCAAATCATAAAAGTTGGGCGGGATTAATTTTTTTTTTCCGCTTTTTGGGTTGGGTTGAGTTTTTGAAAAATCGAAAATTTGATTTAGTTTGCGAATTGACATTTTTTCTAGTCATGTTAATTTAACCGACTCGAAAATAGGGTTACAATCCAATACTATTATACTTTTAAAAAGATTAAAGATATTTAGCATTTGTAACCGATGTTAGTAATATATTTTAACTAGTAAATGTTTGATATTTAAATTTTTACGATATTTTAGTTATTAATATAACATATAAGTAGAAACTTTTTAAATAATTAAAAAAACCGACAACCCAATTCAATTCAAGATTGGATTGGGTTGGGTTGGGTTGAGTTAGGTTGGACTGTGAACTTTATTCGGGTTGCTCGAATCAACATCCCAAAAATTCGAGTCGGTCAAAAAGACTTTTCCAACCTAATTCAACCCTACTTGTGAGTACGTGCCATTCACTTTTTGTCTCTAAATGAGTTGTGGACAACAACGTGGGCAAAGAGTATAGGACGATGACAATAGTTGTAGAAAAAAAATTAATAAATCCACATCACATCACATTAATAAAAAAATTATAAAACTTACCTCAATGTCTCGTCATTTTATCGTTAGTCAACTTTGACTAACGGTCAACTTTAAGTCGAGAAGTATATTTAAAATATGTAAAATTATTAAGTTATTTAAGAAATGGTTTAGATTAAAAGAGGTTTGTACGGAGCACGATTTGTGATTCCAGCAGGGTGGATAGTTGTCCCGAGTCTCTCAGCGGTCCACTTGAATCTACGTTGACCCTCTAGCGTTCAACCCGTGGAGATGGGAGGTACGTTGAACTTGACCCTACGTATTAGAGGTGTACACAGGTTGGGTAAAAAAAAAAAAAAAAAAGGGTAAAAAGTGAAATGGTTATTTGATATCAAAATTTTACCTTTTTTGTTACAGAAATCAGATGGTGGAGCATCCAAGCATTTGATGGCCTTTGGTGGTGGCCTTAGATTTTGTTTTGGTGCAAAGTTTATCAAGCTATAAGTACGACTTCCCGAACAATTTTTATTACACGTTCTTAAGTCTCGATTCTTTTCGTGATTTGGCATGACCTGTCATATACGAATAGACCGATTTGATAAAGTTGATTGAAACTTTTTAAAGTATAGAGTTAGAGACTATGACTATAATCGATAAAGTTAACCTATTTTGTTTTCGGTTCACTCAGATTTGAAGCAATTAAAGGAGGTAACATTAGCCGAGATATGGGCTTACAATTTCCAGATGGTTTTCATGTTCGAATCACGGAGAAATCGTTATGCAAATAAGAGAATAAGGACTTTCAGACAATTAAAGGAATGTTGGAGCACATCTGTGAAAATTAGGTCAATATTCATGCTACAAATTCTATCGTTGTAAAATTATTTTCTAAAAACAATATAATGCAAGAAGCAAGGTAGTATTCATGCTTTCGACTACACGACATTTCAGATGAGTTATTATAGTTTGGACGAGACATGCTAAAGAATATATGTTACACTAGTGGTTAATAAAAGAAATATACACGTAAAGTGTTTGGATCTCTTTAAAAAATGGGTGTTCATATGATTCAATAACTCATCAACTTGAACTACCCAAATCATAAAAGTTAGTTGGGTTAGATTCTTTTTCGGTTTGAGTTGGGTTGAATTTTTTAAAATTTAAAAATTTGGGTTGATTCACGGGTTGATACTTTTTTGTTTAGGAAACCCGAAAATAGAGTTACAACTCAACCAACCTGTGAGATCCCTTATGGGTTGAAGAGGAGAACGAAACATTATTCGAAACAAAATAGGAAATTAATAAAAAAAATCGATTTAATACCGATATTTTAGCAACAAATCCAATAAATTTAAGCGTAGTGCTTGGTGTATTGATTTTTTTTAAAGGGAGTGTGTGCGAGTTGAAATCTCGCATTGGTTGAATAGGGAGACGAAACCTTATAAGGGTGCGGAAACTTCTCCCGAGTAGGCAAAAGACCAAACCCAAATTTTCTCACAAGGAACCCAATCCTTTAAAAAAATAAAAACTTCGAAAACACCCCTATACTTTTTTAAAACCTTCAAAATACCCTAGCGCTAGTACCACATCTCAAAAATACTCGTGAGCTTTCAAAACTAACATTAAAAAGTATAGAGATAATTTAGACGATAAGAATTTTTTAATATATATTAAAGTTTTCATTCTTACTCCATAAATTGAACATCCAGAGATGTAAGCACAAAAAGAATGAAGTGATGCATTATATGAACAACAGAGAGCTCACAAACACACAAATTATGTCACCTTTTTTTCTACATACACTGTTCTTTCAACTAAGAAAACATATGGAAACATGACATCATCATTAAAAAACACATTCATAGACATGTACCATGATATCAAAACAAGCCTAATCAGTTCCCACATTCCCATTTTGATGTTGGCACACAACTTAGATAATGACACCACCTGCAATGGTTGTTTCCGTTCTCCCCTCGAAATAGCATCACCAGCCCGATCGTGAACCTGCAACGATGAAACAAGATCGTAATCCAGTTCTCTTTTCATCTCTGCTGTTATCAGCATTCATCAATCAGTAGAAGCGATACACTTACCCGGCAATCAGAAGAGCGAGGGCCACGAAGCATAAAATATATTGGTAAGCCTTGTGCTTGGATACAGCTCGAGAACTTGCGGGGAGATGTCGACGTTCCATCCATCCGAACTGAGGACGGAGAAGCAAAACAAACCCAAGAAGAAAGCCTGTCAAGAACCCGCCAATATGGGCAAAGTTATCGACATGAGGAAGAATCCCAACAGCTAAGTTAATGGCGATGATGACGATGAGTGTGATGAGAGCTGCAGCCTACAAGAACAATTCGTTAGCTGTTGATGGCATGATATGTTCAAATAAGGTACACACCAACCAACATGAAAACAAAGACGATGTGAGACCCCACGTTGGTTAGAGAGGGGAACGAAACATTCTTTATAAGAGTGTCGGAACCTCTCCCTAGCAGACACGTTTTAAAAACCTCGGGGGAAACTCAAAAGGAAAAGCCCAAAGAAGACGATATCTATTAGCGGTAGGCTTGGACTTTGACAAATGGTATTAGAGCCAAACATCGATTAAAAAGAGGTGGATTGTGAGATTCCAGATCGATTGAAGAGAAGAACGAGTGTCAGCGAAGACGCTAGGCCCCGAAAGGAGGTGGATTCTAAGATCCCACATCGATAAGAGAGCAGAACGAAACATTCTTTATAAGGGTGTGGAAACCTCTCCCTAACCGACGCGTTTTAAAAACCTTGAGAGAAAGTCCGAAACGAAAGCCCAAAGAAGACAATATCCACTAGTTGTAGGCTTCGACTATTACTCATTTTTGTGTCTTCAACTAACCTTATCAGTATATATAGTCCAGTTTGTCAAGAGTTCTGATAGCATTGCACCAAGAAGCCCAAATAAAGCACCAGAGGCACCAACAGAGATGTTGTTTTGAATGAAAAGAGACGATAATATGCTTCCACCTAATCCCGAAAGCAAGTAGAGTATCCCGACCCGAACTGCGTGATTATGTCAAAAAAACAACCAGTGAGCATGAAATTTCTGAAGTAAAATGCAGGCCAAAGTAAGACACTTGACGTACTGAATCCGAATTGTTGTTCGAGGCGGATCCCGATAAATACCAAGCTCAACATATTTGCAAGCAAATGAATGACTCCAGCATGCAGCCAAATACCAGTAATGAGTCTCCATGCTTGATGCCCATGAACTATCTTTTCCCATTCAAGTGCTCCCAGTTTCTGTAGTCTGAAATAAATGATATCAGTTATGGTAAAAACTCAATGCCTAAAGAGTAGTCTCACGTTATTCTTTGCCTTCATGTGTCTCTTCTATGGTTTAAAACATAGTCTCTTCCACAAATGGTAGAGTTGAATTTATGCAATAGCAAATACAAAGTTCAAATGCACAAGAACGTCATCGACAATTGTCATGATGTAACGGCTCAAGTCCACCGCTAGCAGATATTGTCCTCTTTGGGCCTTTCCCTCAAGATTTTTAAAACGCATATGCTAGAGAGAGGTTTTCACACCCTTATAAAGGGTGTTTCGTTCTCCTCCCCAACCGATGTGGGATATCACAATCCACCCCTCTCCGGGGCCCAGCATCCTCGTTGGCACTTGTTCCCTTCTCCAATTGAGGTGAGACCCCCAAATCCACCCCCTTAGAGGCCCAGTGTCCTTGTTGACACATCTCCCGGTGTCTGGCTTTGATACCATTTGTAACGGTCCAAACCACCGCATTAGCAACTAGTGTCCTCTTTGGGCTTCCCCTCAAGGTTTTTAATACACGTCTGTTAGGGAGAGTTTTTCACACCCTTATAAAGAATGTTTCGTTCTACTCTCCAACCGACATAGGATCTCACAAAACCATTCATCAACAGTTATCGAGATTAAAGGAGAGACCCAGGAGAAGTATATAGTATTCAACTAAAAGGTTTCTCCAAGGAAAAACTTTTTATAATCACAAAAGTACGAGCGCAGATTATAACTATTTCTGAGGAAAAACCTCTTCAAAAGAACAGATTAGATAACCTCTAATGGAGTTCTACAAAGCCATCCTATACATTAGTCCATTAATGGAGGTACGCTTTTCTCAAAGCTGAAAGATCTCCTCCAAACATTTAAGTCCTTCGCTGCTGAACCCGATTGAACAAGGTAAAAATCTGATAAAGAAAAGGGAGAAAGACTTGGTTCGTCTTTTGCCAAGTGAAACTAAAAGCTAAGTCGAGAATTCCGCATCAACAACTCAATTTGCCCGGTAAGAGCAAGTCTTTCCTTGAGGAAAGAGTCGCCTTCCGCACGGTTAAGCAGATAAGCGAAGGCTCTCTCTCTCGCCCTATTCATTTCATTTGACCAGCAATGAGCTAGAACCCATTTGGCTATAGATTACACCAAGCGCATACAAAATACCTCAAACAAGGAAACATAAGAATCAAAAAGAACTCAAGGAACCTCAACTTAAAACCAAGCAAACTTCCATGATAACAGCAACATATTAACACAGTGATTAATGTTCATAAACAGAAAATCCCAATTGCAAACAAAACAGAGCTCATAGAAACCCAATGGCAAAATTAAACAACTCACGTGGAAGAAGAAGGACCAAACAGAGGATTCACTCTAAGAGGCTCAAAAGAAAACCGCCCAAGAAACCTGGCAACACACTCCTGCGAGCCCAGATTGTTCTGGGGACAGTTATTAACATACATAACAACAACGAACATAGCAACATTAGCCACCACGAACATAGGAACCAACCAAGAAGTCCATTGCTTCTCAGAGGCGTCTTGATAATAAGAACCTGAGTAATTCCCAGGTGGGTTGTTATTGGGTTTAGCCCCTCCTCTTTCCAGATCTCGGCTACCCATTTCACTCTATCCCTCTTTTTCTCTCAATCTATCACTATATGAAGCCCAAATGAGCGATCACTTTCGTCCAAATGGGTTAGTTGAATGGAAGAAATGGAGACGGAAAAGGGGGGTTTCAGAGATCGAAGCGATGAAATGAATTGGGATTTGGGATTCTTTTTTTTGTTGTGAATTAGATGTTAGGCGGTGGGTGTAGGTTGGATTCAACAACCGGGGGGTTTCCAAGTTTGAATGAAAGCGGTAAGAAAAAGGAGTAATGAGTAATGGAGGTTAAAGAAACGCATTTCTTGATGCCGCTTGCTCGTGTGTGAGAATTGTGGAGTGGGGAATCATTACATTTCAATGATTGTTATAAACTAAAGAACCCAATTCTTGTGTGCTTCCCATTTCCAATATATTTACAACCTTCAATTATTCAACTTTTCATGTTCCTGTTCTTATGCATAATTTTTTTAAATCCACTCATCAAATTTAATTTTTTTCATTAAAAACAATTATCCAATAATTTACAGAATCTTTAAAAAATAATAATTTTATATTGATAACTCCGAGCTGATTTCACATAGAATCAAGTAAAAATTAGCTACAAATTACTGATAAAAGATCTAAATTGATTAGTTTAGGAAGCATATCTCAATTTCTCCAATTTAATTATTAGATAATAGTTTTTTTTCTTAAAAAAAATTTAATCACTATTTAAAAAAAAAAAAAATCATCCAAAGCTTGCAAGTGGGGATGGTTGAAAAAAGTGGTGGATTAGCTCATTTTCTCACCTATAATTTGGATAAGAAAAATCATTCAATACCAAATTTTATAAAATAATAATTAATATATATATATATATATATATATATATATATATATATATATATATATATATATATATATATATATATTTATTTATTTAGGGAGTGGTTTTTGTTATGATGGGTTTGGAAAGAGGTTGTAGTGGACAAAATCTTATTAATTACAATTTTAATTTTTTTTAATTATTTAATAATAGTTTAAATTTTTATTTATTTATTGGTTTTTTATTTTTGTAATTTATTAGTAATTTTAAAAGCTTGAAAATTATATAAAGTCTATTTTTTTTTTTCATTTCTTTATTTGTTTGTTTATTTTTTAGAAAATATAATATCTTACTTATGGAGTTCTTTTTTTATAATTTATTTTTCAAGGATTGTAAAAAGGTTTCTTTCATAAGTCAATTATTAAATAAAGAAAAATTGAATAAGGTAAATAACAAAATATTTATAAAAAAAATTAAATGTTTTTTTCTTTGACTTTGATGTTAATCCCAAGCTTTGACTTATGAAGTCTTGATATAGTTACATGTGGGAGATAATTATTTTTTTTCCAATAATATATTAGTTCATGTTCTATAAATTTTAATGATTAAATTAGTTATTTATTTATAAATAAATTTTATCAATATATTTTAGTCAAACATACTTTTTTTTTTTTCCTTGTTTTTTCTTTTTATAATATAAATTTAGTCTCTAAATTTTCATATAATTATTTAATAAATCGAACATATTATATACTTTTTAAAATTTCGGGCATTAAACCGAGAATTATTATTTTTAAAAAATGTTATAAATTTTATTTTGAAGGAATAACTCGATAAGGAAATGTTTCATTGAAACGACGGCCTTAATTGAAGCCAATTCAAGGGCTCAATATATCTTTAAATTTCTGAACTATTTGTATCTTAATAAAAAATATTTCTAAATAATGTATTTTTTTTCTTAAAAAATATGTTAAATATAGAATTTTTTTTTTAAGAATGTGTTTATGACTGATGGATGCATTTACAAGTTTTGAGACTGTCGATATACTTAGTGATGAGGATAATTGGATAATTCACTGGTTAAAGTAGTTATCAACCAATCGTTGGACTGATAAAAAAAACTAGTGATTCAACCGATAATTTGATTGATCAACGAGCAACGCATGCTCCCAACCCATTCTATGAATTGAAAATCCTCCATGAAATGGTTCCTTAGTACATCACCGATCTTGTAGGTACCATTCACACACCGCTCCATATCATCTAGATTACTAAAGTAGTTGAATCGTACAATTGGGTTAATCGTAAACGACAAATTTGGAGTTCTTCGTGATGGAATTTATTTTATTGGCAACTGAAGGTGGTTGGATCGTAATAGTTGGCTTTGAAGTTACTCAGATATGTTTCCAACTGGCAGACGATTGGTTCCAAGCCACCAATTAAGTATTGGTAACATATGGACCCTGCACAAGCTTCCTTTGTCAGGCACTGTTGGCGTAGATATGGGCACTCCCCTGTTGTAACCATAAAGTTCTGAAAAATAGACCTCCGAAGTCACTAGAAATTGACGCTTCAGTTTCGATAACGTGTCCATGTCGAACATATATCGGACATTCAGTAATCATAGAACTTGAATATGAATCCAACTCTTTGAGCCGTTTTCAAAGCAATGAATAGACAAATTGTAACTTTTTGAAGCACGGTTATTGACTTTAAATTTGTTTTTGTACGAAACTGATGAACAAGACATTGTGTACGTGACTATAAAATATAACATATCACTATGTGAAATCCGACATCAGTTGAGGAGGAGAACGAAGTATTCTTTATAAAGGTATAGAAATTTTTCTAGTATACGTATTTTAAAAACCTTGAGGAAAAATCCGTAAGAGAAAGCCCAAAAAAGATACTATTTATAAGTGTGGAAACTTCTATCTAGCAGCCATGTTTTAATAACCTTGAGGGAAACCCAAAAGGGAAAGCCCAAAAAACACATTCTTTAAAGGACGTGGAAACTTTTCACTTATGCATTTTAACTTTTCACTAACATATGCATTTTAATAACCTTGAGACATTATTTATAAGGTCTGAAAACTTCTCCCCTCCCTAGCAGATGCGTTTTAATAATAACCTTGAGAGGAAGCTCGTGAGGGAAAACCCAAAAAAGACATTATTTATAAGGGTCTGAAAACTTCTCCCCAACAGACGCATTTTAATAACCTTGAGGTGAAGCCCGAAATGGAAAGCCCAAAGAGAACATTCTTTATAAAGGTGTGAAAACTTTTTCCTAGTATACACATTTTAAAAATCTTAAGGGGAAGCCCGAGAGGGAAAAGTCCAAAAAAAGATAATATCGGCTAGCGATAGACTTGAATCGTTACACACCATATCTTTGTTTGTGTTCGTGCTTCTTTGCCTCAAAGTACCGAGATATTGATAAATACTTCGAGATCATAACATCAAATTACGTCATTTGAAAACAAAAAGATTTTAACTAATGAGAATCATGGACACAGTCAGGGGCTTGCTTGTACCTACTTCAATGGGGGTAGGGGAGAGAGAAATGTCGACAAGAATGCCATTGGCCTAAAACCTTAGCAAAATGATCCTAAAACACCAAATTTTGTGCTTAGTCTAACTATATCATACAAAAACAAAAGCTAATATCCTAAGGAACACAAGTGTTTAAATTCATACTATCTCCCCTTCGAGCCGAATTTTAAGCAGCCTCAACATTTCAACCATTCATGGCGCTTTCGCAGTCTCACGAACAATGGAAAGCTTGGCCAAAAGACCGCATAGCTGCAGATAAGACCCAACTCCATCACAAATTCTCATATGAGCAAACCCAATTTCCTGCAATTCATCAAAAGAGTGAGTACTAGCTAATCTGGTATGGTCAAATGATAGCTCAGGTTTTAACATACCTTCATGAATTCCAGTTTCAGATACTCAGCCATATCATAGTTCTTAATAATACGGAAAAGAGTGGTTATTATGTCAGTGGGAGAATAGCCCATGTCGTAGAGTTGCTTCAGAGCTGCACAAGCATCGTCAAATTTACCTTCAAGCACGTTACGCACCATGTTCTTAACATGCAGCGGATGCGGTTGATCGCAAACCTAGTGAATCAACAAGCATGTCACAAGATGAAGTTTTCTGAGTCTAAGATAAGGAAAGATAAAAACATGTGACAGGAACCTTGAAAACATTGTCCTGGTTTACAAAGCGGAATCCACTATATGTAGCTTGCAAATTATTCAGCGCTTGCCTCATATCACCATCAGCGGTGAAAATGATTGCTTCAAGACCTTCTGGAACATAGGGTACCTTCATATTTTCAAACAATTATCATTTCTAAACTACTTGAAAATATTACCAAACATGGGAGTCCACAAAACAAAACAAAACAATTTAAAAAAAGGCTCAAGGTATTGTTAAGGATAAAAAAAAACAAATGCAAATTAAACAAAATAATATGTAGTGAACACACAAAGGGAGATGTTGAAGTGAACCATAATCGAAGCTTCTACTAGGAGCCGACTAAGCTAACGTGTAACGAGCCAAGAAATTATTCTAAATTTTCATAGCAAACTGACAGCTCCATAGCACATAGAAGTGTTCATGAGTCATTTGGCATAACACATAACATTGATGCCCCAAACCCTTCTCGCTTCAAAACACGGCAATCATTTGTTCTATATCCATGCCTCTATGAAATTTGTAGTAGGACCCTGTTTTGCAAGAATGGTTAGCATCTCACGATATTGGCCAACTAAGGTACTCTTTAACCTTTTGCTAGACAATGAAGGTTAGCATATAAAAAGCTGAGGTGAGTGCATCAGATGGTGTTTGTCATTTTTGGTGGCTCCTTCTACATTTCATTTTCTATATGGTTTGTCTAAACCACTGCCTTTACCAGGCTGCTGTTTTGTCCCACGCTTTCAGGCTGATCTAAAGGCTTGCTTTCTTGCTCCAAGGCCAGAAACATATAGTTTCTCCGTGATCGTAGGGATCTAAGCAAGAGGAGTGGAAGATAACCGTACTTCGAAAAAAGCTGCACTTTAAGACACAAGTTAGCAGTTATTACATGATCATTGCAATTGACCACCTCATGAATTGTGAGATCCCACATCAATTGGAGAGGGGAACGAGACATTCCTAATAAGAGTGTGGAAACCTCTCCCTAGTATTCGCATTTTAAAAACCTTGAGAGGAGGCCCGAAAGAGAAAACCCAAGGAAAACAATATCTGCTAACGGTGGGTTTGGGCTGTTACAAATGGTATCAAAGCTAGTCAAGGGACGGTGTGCCAGCGAGGACGCTGAGCCCTCAAGAGGGGTGGATTGTGAGATTCTACATCAGTTGGAGAGGGGAATGAAACATTTCTTATAAGGGTGTGGAAACCTCTCCCTAGTAGACGTGTTTCAAAACCTTGAAGGGAAACCCGAAAGGGAAAGCTCAAAGAGGACAATATCTACTAACGGTGGGCTTTATCTGTTACATGAATTTCTTTGTTTTAGCGTTTCAAGCAATCTCTCAAGCTTCCATTTTCTTCATGGAGGAAATTAAACATGTTGAATGTCTCCTGGTCATACTTGCAAATATTCAGGTGTAAGCCCAGTATAGCTCAGTGAAACCTCTTATGGATTAAAATAACTCATTCAGCCAATTTAGCCATGAAAGGGCAGATCTATTTAGGCTCAAGGGAAAGATGATCCAATTTAATACATCATTGTCTTCATTTGGGTTGAACCATGCTAATGGCCAAGATAAAGGGGTGCTTTCGAAATGTCTCAATATACATGCCCAGTTATTCTTTTGCTCCAGACATCTGACTCCCTCAATAGCTTGCTGATACCTTGAACACGACCCTACAAGTTTCTTGATTTTCTTGTTCTTAATTTTCAAGCCTATTAAAGGAACAACAAATCGCAACTTTTCAGTACTTTCGAGTAAGTTTTGGACTAATGAGTAAATAACTGAGAGCACCTAGAAATTTTTTCATAAAAACAACAATAATAATGTTTTTTATTATTATTATTATTATTTTTGGGATGAGAAACCGCAAAGGGGATATATTCATTGAAAAAGAGAGAACACACTAAGGGCTGGGGTTGAGAGAAACCCTCCCCTCACCAACTACTTTAAAAGAGTCTGCTGATCGTTGATAATCACCAACACACTATACTTACAAAACAACTTTTTGTGTAAAGCAATTCACCAAGAGCCCGTGTTTTGTATATAAAGTTACAAAAAGAATCAAAATGTAAGGACTTATATTCAAATGAACACGCATTTCTTTCTTTCGACAAAAGCCACAAAACAGCCCTAAAGACGCAACTGCCTATCACCAAAGCTTTACCTTTCAGATTCCAAGCATTCAAACCCTCCAAGTGCCAATCATCAATTCTAATTGGCATACTAAATGAAATCCCCAGAAGACCCGCTAGAATATTCCAAGCAATTCATCCTCCCTTGTTTCTTTTTTGGCAACTTATATCTCAATGTGCCTTGATAGATCAGTGCAATATAAGTTGCCAACATAATCTGCATCTAGAAGGAAGAAGAGACCAGTCTTTGAACTTCCTTTGCAGCCTATCATCAGTATTTAGGCTTCAAAATGCCAAGGACCAAAGAAAACTGGGATTTTCTTTGGGCTTTTATGCTTCCAGATTAAGCTAGTCAAACACTTTAGATTGGACCTAGATCTTGAAAAAGGGATAAGAAGTAATTGGAGATAACACTCAGCACAGACTGGATAAGGGTGAGCCGACCCACCTGGAGAAAAAAGCATGTTTCCAAGTAGAAACATTTTATGAACCTAGTCTAAAACAGGGTTCCATAAGATCATACTCCACAAATTACCCCCAAAAGGGAGACCATGATGGTAGGTCGGAAGTTAGCTATGCTCACATCCAACCAAGGAGACACAAGAGCTTAATTTAGTAGTTGAAAGAAATATAATCCCCTTCAAAACTTGTGTCTACCCCTTTGATAGCTAGCCTATTGATGGATGCCTACCACCCACCGAAGAGTTTGAGAGAACGGAAAATTGTATTCTCATAGCCTAAAATAAAATAAGATATAATACAAAATCTTGGAGTTAAATCCTTCAAAAGTTATAACATATACTAAAAAACATCAAAAATAAAAGAAAAAAACGAATATTTTTCTAAAAAAAAGGTTTTTAATATTATGTTCATTGATTATTAAAATAATAATGATGATTTTTTAATTAATTTTTTTATTTGAAAAAAAAAAAAAAAAGGAAAACTAACAAACTAGGATTAGTTGGTTGCTTGCACCCCATAAACCTATCGGTTTCCATTTAATGAAATCAACACCAATTGACTAACTTATAGCCCTAATATATATGCATATAGGAGATACACGAAGGGAACGAAAGCGAGAGAGTACTGAAAAGAAGGCAACATGACAAGGGCCGAACCATCCCTTCCACAAGTTTCTAACATGAACAATCAGCAATATTAACATTTTACTTTGTTTAGGTGCAATTTTAAGACACATATCTATGAGAAATTCAGGCCTACACAAGTAGTTTGAGAGGAACAAGGCTCTTTATCCTTTTGAACAATACAGCTTAAAAATATGACCAATGATTACTAAACAAGCTAGCCATTTCCATCAAAAAATTGCGCAAAAGAACAATGAGACCAATGCATAATAAAACAATGGCATGAGATCTAACATAGTGATGCTTTCAGCCTTTCAATAAAGTGATACTTTCTTCAGAAGATAATCAAGCGGCATTAAGTTTATAAGAACAATTAAATTTAGCAGAGTGGTTGTATTTATAACAACAGAAATATAGTCTGGAATGCATCTCTAATCATTATCACAAATAATTGATACCTTTTCTGCTTGAAGTACCACCATAAGGCGCCCAAGAATCTCTTGATCTGTTAATCTTGAAAATCGAACAATTGCACATCTACTCTGAATAGGCTCGATAATTTTTGAGGAGGTATTACATGCAAGTGCAAAACGTGTTGTGTTCGAATATATTTCCATTGTACGCCTCAAAGCTTGTTGTGCTCCAGTTGTCATGCTGGATTATTTTCATAATCATAACCATCCCCAAAAGTAATAAATAAACAATGGAACCCAAAGTCAGAAAATGAACAGCAAAGCAAAAGTAAAAAACAGGTGAGGGATAGGAATGCGAAAAGGAAGGGAAGGAAACAAAGAAAACCTCCCAAGAAAGAACTTCTTGGTTCCATTTAGGATCAAATAGTGTCACAAAAGTGGAACTTGCACGCAGAAAACAATTTTTTCGATATGGTTAGATCGTATAGCCTATGACTATGAAATGTGTCATCTACCCTAAGAAACAAGTATGAGCACAGATATGAGACATGAATATGACACGGACACCGACACGTCAATTTGTTAATTTATACAAATGTACGACATGGACACATTGGGAATTTTTATTTTTTATAGAAGATGTGCATGTTCAAAGGTTCCGGAGTTGAACAGCTTTGTTACGTGGTTTCTATTTCCTCTTTCATTTTCTTCTTCTTTTGTAGGGGTAGACAGACAGACATCTTTTTCGGTTCAAAACATATTTGACATTTCAAAATAGACTAGATACGTGAATTTAACAAAAAAAAAAAAAAATGAATGTGCTTGAAATAGTGAGTAGTGTGTCCCTCACCCCACAATTTCTTCATGAAATTTTAGGGCTGATTATAATAAGGTTAGTAATGGTTTGAGCAAAGGACAAGAAGTAATGAGCTGGATTAAACATTTTTTCTTTCTAAATTCTCGATCAAATTTTTTTTACAACGATGTGTTCCCTACACGACCAGATATGTTCCATGTGTGTTCCAAATTGGACAAAATAAAAATAAACAAGGATGCTACAAACACTCTACAAAAGAGAGTGTCCGTTGAAACCTACCTGTCAGCTTCATCCAATATTACCACTTTGTGTCGACCAGGAGGCAAGGTTACTTTCTTTTGAGCAAACATCTTGATTTTGTTCCTCACAACGTCTATTCCCCTAAACAAGAACACAGGTTAGAAAAACATACAGATCCAGTAACATTTGGAAATATTTGAAGCTTAAAAAGCATAGAATGTGCCACCTTTCATCTGATGCATTAAGCTCCAGAACACCATCCTTGTAATTTGGTCCCAAGAGCTCGTGAGCAAGAGCCAGAATACTGGTTGTCTTCCCAGTTCCTGGCGGACCCTAGAAAACAAATATACAGCAACAGAGTATCACCAATAGCAAGACAAAAGGAAAAACCTCATCCCACTTGATTAGAACCTTTTGAATTTCGCTTGCCCCCTAACAATTGTGAATGAAATTTTTAGTATATTTGACTGCAGAACATTAAACCCCCCCCCCCAAAAAAAATAATCAAAAACAGGATAAAATTCGAGCCTTATTAGTTCCCAAATCCCCCGGTGCCCATGAAAACAGTTCAAAGAATGAAAAAGATGTTCAAGCTGCATGATTTTCTACTTCACATAACTAAGATTAAAAATTAAGCAACCCTATGTCCCATAACTGAACTACGACATCAATGGCGGCAATGTAAATTGAACAGTGAAAAATTCGAGAAGAAAAAGCGTTCGAGAAGTACAGATAATATGAAATTGGGCATGTTGCCGTCGCGAGCAATGACTTGGAGCCGAGAAACTGCTTCTTCATTGCCCACAATGTCAGCAACCTTGCTGGGCCTGTACTTCTCCACCCATGGCATGTCGTAGCTGCTGCTGCTGCTGCTTCCTGAAGAAGACGCCATGGATTTTCTCTGTCTTTGCACAGATGAATGTGGCTGTTCGAGGATGGGTAGAACAATTTGAAGGAGAAACTCGGCCCTTCCCACTTCGCGCCCTCGGCTTGGCTTTTTTTTTTTCAATATAAAAGGGCAAAACCCCATTTTTTTTCTCATCGTTAATGACAGCTTTGACCCTGCATTTTTTTTATTTTACCAATAATACCCTCCCATTTTTTATTTTAATTTTTATTATAAAAAGTAAAAAGTAACCCTTTTTACCTTAAATTTAAAATTTACTAGAATAAAATTTTGATATAATGTTAAAATGAAAACGGTGACATGTAACAAAATTGTGGCTTGAATATTGATATATCGTTTCAAGTCTCGATCTCGATCCAAATTTTATTAATTTTTTTATTGAATTCGGGTTGTTGGGTTGGTAAATCGAGCAACCCCAATAGAATTCACAGCGGTGGGTTGTTCTTTTTTTTTTTTAAAAAAAAAACTATTAATAACTAAAATCTCATAAAATTTAAATATTAAACATTCACGAGTCACAACGCATCACCGACATGCTACAAAAGTCAAATATTCTTAATATTCATAATAATTTTAAAAGCATCATATTTTATTTAAGACTAAAGCGCAGTGTTCGAAGAGGAGAGAGTTCATCGTTCAACAATAAAACACCGATTAACTTTCGTTTTGGATAGAGATGCACATTTAACCCAAGGGACTATAAAATTCATATTTAAATGGAGAATGATGAAAGGAGTCGGGAAAGATTTCTCTCTGTTAGCTAAATGGAATCGAAGATGGAGACTATATTTTTTTAGTTCCAGTTCCTCTCTCAAGTCTCGGTTTTTGCACCAATTTCCGGCGTTGATAAAGTATTGTAGTATTAAATTTTAAATTTTTAGTATAGAGTATTTTGAACTCTAAAAACATTTTTTTAAAAAAAAAAAATTAAAGATAATTTGGTAATTTAGCTTAAAAAAAAAAAAGATTTTGAGGTGAATCTAAAAAGAAAAAACATGATGACGACACGTGGCGTGATGAATGAACAAGTTCCCCCCGACCAGTAATTTTCAGTTTATGAACAGACAAAACGACACGTGGTTTCGATCCAATCGGGCGTGTCCCACAGGTGGGGAGAAAAGACAAATAATTACAAAGAAGCCGCGATCCCGGAGAGACCATAACAGGACGCGCCATTCCCATTTAGCACCACGACGAAGGAATCGCAATTCCTCCCCCCTAGGCCTTCGTATCATCATCCACCCCACCCTCCAAATCTTCCCCTACTTTTACCCGGAGCTCCGATAATCCTTCACCTCCCAATTGGAGTTTCCCTCTTTCGTTGTTTCTTGCACGGGATGAAGCAAGTCAATTCGCGGACTTAGGGTTTGATTGATTGTTTTTGGAATTTCTAATGGCATCTTCAAGGTCTCCGAATGGATCGTCTGACGATATCGTTGATACCTCCCCCTTGATGGGGAATTCGAATCGGTCGCTTGATGAAACGCATTCGGGTAGGCGATTTGTGCAGAGGCAAAGTCTGCGTCAGGCGGCGAGGTTTCTGAGGCAGGCGAGTAGTCGGAGGACGATGCGTGAGCCGTCTATGTTGGTCCGAGAGACAGCTGCGGAGCAATTGGAGGAGAGGCAGAGTGATTGGGCGTATTCGAAGCCGGTTGTCATCCTTGACATCGTCTGGAATTTCGCTTTTGTTGTTGTTGCTGCTACCGTTTTGGTTCTGAGCCGCAACGAGTCTCCTACAATGCCTTTGAGGTTGTGGATTGTGGGGTATGCGTTTCAATGCGTTCTCCATATGGTGTGTGTTATTGTGGAGTATCGTCGCCGCCAGCGGCGGCGCTATTCAGACTTCAATTCGATGGATGAGGGAAATTCTGCACGGGGGCTTTCCGGTTTGGGGTCGAGAGGGAACTCGAGTCATTATGTATCATTGGCGCACCTGGATGATAACGACACCAGGTTAGGTTATATATACGTTTTTACATTAAGATTTAAATATGATGTTGTCTTTTCCAGAAGTCTATTTTATGATATTTGACATGCAGTGATTTCGTAATTGTTCTGATAGGAATTATAAGGAACCAAAGGAGAGATTTTTTGTTTGATAGAGATGATATGTTTGGTTATATGCAGCATGTTAGTAAAGGACGTGGATTCTGAGTTTGCTTTTCAATGGGAAATGTTAGACTATCAGGATGATTACATCAGCTGAGCTTTTCTCCCAGCTGCACAAATTTTAGAAATTCGAAATGTTTGGTTAAGTTTACTATCTTGGACGTCAATATATATATATATATATATCATAATTCTTACCTCCAGGCGTGATTGATAAGGAAGGATTGATACAACAAGAACCATTGTTCTCTTTACATTCCTATTTTCAACTAAACCACCCTTGGCATCAAAGTCTCATCATGTAAAACATTCACGTAGTCTCTGGCGCAGTATGAAGGCAACTCATTAGAGCTATTATTGTTAGTCGTTTGTTTAGTTTATCATTAAATTATTAAACTGAAAATTTCAGTTTTTTTTTTATCATGAAACAACTTCTGGTTAAATAATGAAAAAGAACGAGTGTTCAAGGGATACAAACTCCCATAGGGGGTGAAAACGAAGGAAAAAAAGAAAATACAAAACAACAAATACACCCATAGAGAGATTTAACCATGAAAAGAAATATTGAAAGAACAAAAAAAGTTTTTCAATATCTTCGCCTGAAGGTCTTGGAGAGCTTGCAAACAAAAGCTGAAGCTACGAAAAAGGCCTCCACCAATCACGTAACATTTAAAGCTATTACATTCTTCCAAAGAAAATCATAAACCAACCTCCAACCTTGCCATCAAGAAAAACGTATGAAACAGCTGCTATGCTCATTGAAATTAAGGTTGCAACAAGGCGACAAACCAAAGAGCTCAGCCTCTAAGAAGACAAGGCAAGACCATGCCTAATTTTGAGTGTAAAGCTGAGAGATTTTGATATAAAGCAGAGAGAGAATCCTAGTTTCAGCTCTGAATGAGGTTTTTATCTGTGTTTGTTGTGGCTTCATTCACAACATACCAAATCTTAATAAGAACGATCTTGAAGGAGAGATTTCTCAATTACTGCCCCCACACTATTGAAACTATTAATTGGCCCAGTTTTTTGGTTTTCAAAACCAAAAAACTGTCAATTAATTAATGAGAAGATTCATCCCCAACCCTTCGATAACCTTTCCACTGGATTTTCTGTAAATCGAGCCAACCTGTTAGAGAATTCCCCAAGAACTCTAGAATTACTTGAGATTAATTTCATTGGAAGGGTAACAATAGGGAGCAATCAAACATTTATCCAAGGTGATGAAGATGGGATTGCACGCATCTTACGATCGCAAGCCTCAATAAGAAAAGCAAACTTACTAGAAATCGACCAAGTGGACACTATAGGGGAAACTTCTTTGAACTAATTAGCAATTGAATTTAATGATGGGCCAACAACACTATCTGAAAAAAAAAAGAAAAAAAGAAAAAAAGAAAATGAAGCTTCAAAGTTATCATCCATGCAATGATCAACCTCATTTCTTCCCAGTACCTGTAAATTCAACAGAGGCTCTTCGACTCCAAAATATTGATGCTAGCAACTTATTCCCCATCAGAATCATGAATTGATGAGGAAGAAGGTGAAAGCTCATTACAATTAGAAGAAATTAGAGAAAAAAGAGGAGAAACAAGGGGAAGTTTTAGAGATGGTGGAATGAAAGGAGATTGAGAGGGTATTAATCAAGTAGTTGATTGTTATTGGAGTTGTATTTCATTGTATCACCTTATATGAAAGAAGGTGTGAGAAGTAGTTTTTCCTCAGCTTATACGTATGGCTGCTCTGTACACAATTTAATAATGATAAAGTGCTGAAAGGTTTTCTCCTGCATTTTTCTGGTTTCTTTACTATCATTTTGACTGAGCTCAACACAGTTGAGGGAATATTCCGAATCCAATTGCATTAATCAACTCTATTCATCTATGAATACAAGCATAACTTAGTAGATAAGATATCGTATGACTCTACTTTAAGTGGTTTGGTCCTCCATCCTTACAATTATTGAACTAAAAAAAAAGTAATAACTCTACTTAAGAGCCACGTACACTTGAAAAAGCTTAAGAACAGACTTTTGGAAAAATATGTTGTAGGATATCACTCTTGCAAATGGTTTGGAGTGGATAGATTGATTTAACTAGATTTTATCAACCTCAGTTTCTTGATGACAATTGAAATTAAGTGAATAAAAAATGTAGGATGTGGCAGAAGTACACTGACTTGTTATGAGCTAGCTTTGCTCACCCCTTAAATAGAAGGATGACTAGAATAGTAAATTATAATGCTGCTTGCTCAATTTGGTCCTGTCTGTCTACTTGTGTATCACAGTGAAGACAGACCGTAGTGGTGGAACAGTGTCTGTCAATTTTTTTTGCAATTCCCCAAGTTAGGTAGTTGTTATCTGTAATGATTTTGGGAGTTTGTTTAGGTTTGTTCTTTTTAGTTTTCTTTCAAAGTTGTTGGGTTAGAGTTGTGAATCTTTTCTAGATTTTGGTTCTTTTGTATAATGTTGATACTCTTTTGTAATTTCTATTTTATCAATGAAAAATGTTTCGTTTTGTTCTTTAGATTTATAGAGATGTGGGGTGGACAAAGTTTGTGCTGGTTTTTTCTTTTTATCTTTCGATGAAACTTTTCTAGTAAACAATGGCAACCCCACACTGTGTAAAGAAATCTGGAAAAGCAAAATTCCAAAGGTCCCCTTTAATAACTATTTGCTTTTTTTTTCTTTTTTCTTTTTGGTTTTTGAAAATTATTGCTTGTTTTCTCCCAATTTCTTTACCATGCCTTGCATCTTTCTTAAGGAATCATTTGAACTCAACCAAATTCCAAAAACAAAAACAAGTTTCTAAGAACTTTTTTTATTTTTTTATTTTTATTATTATTTATTCTGATTTCCACCGGGTGGAAGCTCAAATGATTAGAAGAGAAGTCTTCCACTTTACAACAATTGACATTATGAGAGAAGGAAGCTCCACTCTACTGGGATTTAGAGATATCTAGATACAAGCCTGCTCTCAATAAGAAAAATGCCAAGAATTTCCCATCATTTTGCATACTGTAGGTGACAGATTTCCACGAAATTTCTCCCACTTTAAAACCCCTCGGGATATTCCTTCCACAAGAGAAATGAATTGTACGGCTGAGGGAGTCTCCAATAATAGTGGAAGGGAAATGGCATGGAGATCGTTGGGAGCTTGCCCAGTTGTGTTCTATCAGTTTGGCACACATGGAGGAGATAGCTGGAGATTTAGAAAGAAAATTACGTGGTTGCCTTTAGGATAGAAATAAAGGAGGCAAACAAAATCATCTTGTTAATCAAGAGAGATCGACTTACTGCTTTTAAGGGGAGGATTAGTAGTTGGAAACTCGTGGGAGAAAGATTATTGAACGTTGAAAAAATGGATGTGGAAGTCCATTTTATTGTTGAGAATACAAAACAAAGGATAATTTTAAAATGAGAATATTTATAGAGAACATCTAAAGAGAGGCATTGGAACGTATCCCACCCCAAACTTTTCTTAGAACCTCTTAACATCCCTAAATACTCCTAATATTTTCAATCCATAAATTCCATTGAACTTCAGAAAAAAAAGGTAGTCTTCCAAAGAACTTGATCCCTTATCACCTAATGGACTAATGAGCACAAGTATGTAGAAACAAGCTACTTCTTTTTCTTTATCATCATCATTACTATTTTCGTCCAGTAGTCAATTACATTCTCATTGTCCAGCATGCCTCTTTCGAATCTTGGCTTACAGACATTTATAAATCTACTTCCAACACAAAAACTTCTTAGCTTATGCTTGTGAGCTCGCCGAATAATGTTAGATTATAAAGCTGACTATAATGTGGCTTGATATTAGTAGAATTTTTCACGTAACAATAAAGGTTATAAAGCTGATTCATTAACTGATCCCTCCAATTTTCTTTATATCTCCTATATTCATTTTTTCTGACACGACAGTGTAGCAAAGCACCTGGAATCTGCAAATACTATGTTTTCCTTCATCTGGTGGATTATTGGATTCTACTGGGTATCCGCAGGAGGCCAATCTTTAGCACACGTCTCCCCTCTGCTTTACTGGTTTGTGATTATTCCTTTCTTGTACCGGATTTTGAAGTTGATGATTACGTTTTCATAGATTCTAACATCTATTAATGTGGTTTGAACTGCAGGTTATGCATCATATTCTTGGGTTTTGATGTCTTCTTTGTGGTCTTCTGTGTTGCTTTGGCATGTATCATTGGAATCGCTGTTTGCTGTTGTCTTCCCTGTATCATTGCACTTTTGTATGCTGTAGCAGACCAGGTATTTTATGGTGTCACTGAAGATATTTTTATGTTTTCATTAAAGGGCAAATATTTTTGTGATTGTTATCTTGTTGTCTCCTTTTTTGTTTTTTTGACATTTCCACGTAATAATAAGATTCTGTATAAAAATTTTCTGCTTTTCCCATTATAAAACTATGGAAGTAAAAGTAAGAAAGGGAGAGAGACGGGAGCTGTCTCCTTTTATTGTGTGTCATTTTCATGTATAAGATTGATCGGCTACCATTAGAAATGTGTATCAGAGAAAGCGCATGAGGAAGGAGGGTGTAATTAGTTGGTTAAGAAGGGAACAACTATTTTTTAACTAGCTTCTGGGGCTGACTCAAGGGGAGTGGGTCAGGGTACTAATAGGGCAGGACAGAGTTGAGTAAGGTGCGTTTTGGCTTTAGATTGGGTGTACTTGGGAGAGATGGAAAGCTCTAGAATTCTTCCTAATCAGCTCTTATCAAAGATTCTCTCATAAAATTCTTCTATGTATTAGCTTGACACCCTTCTTCTTTGTTGTAGTTAGTCTTGAGGTTATTGAAGCCTCGTTGAAGAATTTAGGATGCAAGGGGTGGGATCCCTTATAGTCAGTTATTACAAGAGAGAGAGAGAGAGAGAGAGGGGGGGGGGGGGGGGGGGGGTGAAAAAGTAAAGGAAAGAAAAAGAGAGAGAGAGTTTAGGACCTGAGTTTGGTAGCCCATATTATATTTCATCCTAGGGCCAAGATAATGTGATTAGTTTGTTTACAAGGCCAACTTTACTGCCTTGATGCATATAATAATTATGCATATATGCAGGAAGGAGCAACCAAAGAAGATGTTGAACAGTTGTCAAAATTTACATTCAGAAAGGTTGATGATGCAGAGAAATTCTCCGCTGATGTACAGGAACCTCTTGGTGGCATAATGACCGAATGTAGTACAGATTCACCCATTGAACGTGCCCTCTCACAGGAGGATGCGGTATGTATGCCGTACCATTATCATATGCCAAAACTGTGATACAGTCCATTGCAGGATCTTATTTTGTTATAAGCTAGAATAGGCCTCTGCTGCTCTCAAATAGATGATTGTTTGATGGAAATCTCGTCTTTTAGGAGTGCTGCATCTGCCTTTCTGCGTATGAGGATGGCGTTGAGCTACGAGAACTCCCATGTGGTCACCATTTCCACTGTGCCTGTGTCGATAAGTGGCTGTATATTAATGCTACCTGTCCTCTCTGCAAGTACAACATCCTGAAAAGTAGCAACCTTGCTCAAGAGGAAGTTTGAAATTACTTCTCAATTTATGTGTATGAAAGAACGTATATACAGGTGCGTTGTGTGTAGTTGTGAAAGGGATGGATCAGCAAACTCAGTATAGGCCTTTCTTTTGCTGCAGTTGCTATTATTGTTGTAGTGAATGTTATTCTTTGCTGTAGTCTTTGCTCTGTGCCCAGGTTGCTGCTCGTGTAAATGGCGATTGAAGGTTCTCTGTAATGACTAATACCCCCCACCCCAAGGCATTCCCTTTTGTTTCCTTCTCCCTAGTCAACTTCTGTAATCTTGTTGCTCAATAAATTTAAGTTACACATCTTTTGTTTTTGTTCCTTTTTTCCAAACTTTGTTGCTGCCTTTGGGAGTTCGTGTGTTGCAAAACTGACTTCACCATTTTATGTGCACAACTCTCTCTAACATCCAACCAATAATTCTATTTTTTTTTTTTTTTTATACCTAATTGGATGTATTCAGATCCTTGTATTTTGAATGAAGTTCTATTCATTTTCATTTCATTTTTAAGGGATGAAAATGGTCTCTTTTTTTTTAATGTTCACGGACCAAAGTAAACTAAAGTTAAGTACAGGACCAAAATTAATCAAAGTTTTATTTAAAGTTAAATTTATTATGTACTTGAACCATTGAATCATAATATTGTGCAATGTCTCATTAATTGTTTGTGCTACTTTTATATTGTGCCTATTGTTGAGCCTATAAAGTATGTGTTTGTTAGTAAAATGTTGATCTCGATCTAGATGAGATGATATATTCTAATAATTGTTTTCATGAACGGTACACTTTGATAATATCTAAGAGTTAGGGGTGTACATACGACTTGATTAACTTGGACTACCTAATTCAAACTATAAAAGTTAGTAGCTTACATTTTTTTTCTTTCTACTTTGGGTTGGGTTGAAATTTTGGAAAATTAAAAATTCTGGGTTGGTTAAGACATTTTGTTCCCAATCATAATTCAACTCAACCCTACCCTACTTATTGTCTATGTTTTGTATGTTTCATTGCAATATTTATCAGGAGTTATTGAGATTGAAGTTGTATGTGTGAACAATTTATTTTACGATGATTAGTTATGAACTTTAATTGGCATAAAATGTGTACTCTCGACCAAAAAGATTTGAATTCTCCATCCACCCAGTATGGTAACTCGAACAAATGTTACCTTCGATTTCATTTTGGTCCATTTTAGTTCAATCGGTTGATTCAATTTCATACCAAAGGGAATGGTTTCGAAGGAAAAAGGTCAGTTCCACATCAATTTTAATGAACTTCATCACTCCACAAGTATCAAGAATGTAACAAAAGGGCTGCACAAAATTCATATTTTGTATGAGTAGTGGTGCTTCAACACCAAAACACAAGCATTCACCATTACACAAAATGGAAGTAAATTTTACATTATAACAAGGCATACAATATGATAAGACTGGCTATACTATATGGATGGCTTTCATTTTCTTTCCCCTTCTATGACTGTACTATCAGGACAAAGACAAAAAGAAGTAATAAAGATGAACAAAATGAATGATAATACTGACTATGATGCTTTGTGAAGATTACAGACTTGTAATACTACGCAGCTTCATTGCTTTCAACATCTTTACTTCACAATTTTCCTTTGTTTGGATCAAAAAGATACGTCTGGTTCTCATACAAAATTGATGCTCACCTCATGCATTCCAATGTCTTGCTACTTCTCTTTATCTTCTTCTTGAAGGTTTTTTTGTTATTTCTCCATGATCTGAACGTCAAAGCCGTCCGGGAACTGTAAACCGGGAGTTCGGACGATGTTGCCTCCTTTGATTGCTTTGAACCTGAGAGTTCCAAATGTACAAACATTAGTTATCTATCTCTGAGGACAGAGGCATGTAGTTGCCCCTAGTTTGTCTTCGATTCATAAAGTTTTAGCAAGTATCGTTTCAATTTTATCGGATGTTCCCGAAGGGACCAAAGAGTTGTATTACAAAAATTAAAAAGTTTTATATATAAAAGGCTAGTCCTGTCTTACTCTCTCTTGCAACTTACCTGTACTTTGTAACCAGACAATGGAGAAACACAGCCATTTGAACTTTGGTAAAATCTGTACCAACACAGAACCTCATGCCCCCACCAAAAGCCATGAAATGTTTAGAGGCTCCCTTCAGTTCAGATTTCTGGCAAAAAAAGAAAATCAATTATTCTGATCCCAAATATCAAACGTAGTGAAACTACTCACAATAGTAACTAGCTCAGACAACAACGAAAAAAAAGGACGAAGGATGTATCCTCGACATACCTCCCATCGCCACGGGTTAAAAGCAAGGGGATCGACGTACTTTTCCGGGTTTAAGTGCACGGCTGGAGGGCAGACCATAACAGCCCAGCCTGCTGGAATGGTATATCCTGCTCAAATTAAGGTGCATACATATTTAGTCAACCTCTGGTATGATCTTTTGCAGGAAAAAAAAATATATCTTAAATGCTACTACTGCACACCCTTAAACTGGATATCTCTTAGTGCTTTTCGAAAGATTCCTGGAACTATATTTGCCAGTCTCGCCGTTTCATTGATAAACTGAAATTTGATGAAGTTGGTTTGTGAGAAACATAGGGCATAAAAGAGAGAAAAGAATGAACATATGAATAATTCAAGTAACCTGAAATGTGAATGTCATGGATTTGTATTCCTCCCAAGTAAGCCCAGAATGTGCATTTTCCCTTCTCTTCAATATTCCCTCATGTTCAGCCTGATAAAGATGCAAATACTCATCAGAAAAGGACAGATAACAAGGTTGTGGAAAGCAAGTAGCTTTTATGGCTGCTATAATAGAACAGAACGGACCATCAGCTCCTCTAGCACATGAGGATTGTTGAGGAGAAATTTGATGGCTGCTGTAATAGCAAGTGAAGTAGTTTCAAAGCTTGCAAAAAGTAGTACAAACATAAGGTCCAAAGCAATTTCCTCAGTGAGAAGAGTTCCATCTTTCTCCAGTTCTTCAAGAACAAAATCAAAAAAATCTATTTGTTGTTTCCTTGGATTTGCTCGCCTTTCTTGTAACATGTTCTTCAGCATCCTCATTGCTCTTTTCCGGCCCTGTTAATTCATTTCAAAGTAAAAGATCAATTTTACAATAGATTAGTTCGAAAACAAGTCGTTATCAATTGCAACCTGTGTTGTTAGTAGGTTTGAATGGAACAAATTGAAGTCATACTGATATCAAAACACAACAAATGTTGGGAAAATAGTATAAATAAATAAATAAATAAATATATGTGTATATATATACATATATATATATATATATATATATATGTTGAGAGAGAGAGAGAGAGATTATAAGAAGTAAGACATTTTCAAAGATAACAGAAAGATATATTCAAACTAATAATTTGATATCAATCGTGTTTTAAAAAGTTAAGCTTCTAACCTAACCGATATTGTAACTACATGCTCATTAAACTAGCCATATTGTAGAAGCTTAAAAAAAGTAACTTTTTAGACGTAGCTTTTGATACCAAATTTGGCACTTATTTCTTATGTATATTAGGAATATATTATGAAATAAAGAAATTATTACTAGACAAGCTTAATTTTGAACTGAAAACGGAATTTCTTTTGAATTATTCTAAAAAAACTCCAAAGTTCATCTTGCAGTTCTAAATTAAAATTTTGCCTATTGAAGCTATCCATAAGAGTACCCTCAATTCCTATGGCAAAATGAATACAGAGGAAGTGCCCATCATTAGAATTTCTACACTATATTTGGATTACCTGTAAGCATTTGTTATAAGCAGTTCCGGGAACATTTAGAGGGAAGGAGATCAAGCCCTGTATGAATGCAACAAAGTTCTCTCTCAAATTCTCCGAAGAATTTTCTGAATCATAACTAATCAGCTTCTTTGCAGTCAGATGAAAAATCATCTGCATGGACCAAAAAATCAGTATCAGACATGGAAAATGAACAGAAATTCTAAAACATGCCATTGTTAACAAGAATGTTTGAGTATGTAATTACACTTGCAGTATTATCCTTCAATTCAACTGAGTTTTGAGATGACCATTGTCTCAATCTTTGATTTGCTACAGCCTCAACTTCAGGTATCATCTTTCTCAGACTTTCAGGGCCAAAAAGATGAAGAACCATGTTCTTAAGATATTTATACATGAAACCGTGCAGCGAACCAACATTTTGCCTTCCAAATATCTCTGTGAAGGTATCAGGATACCAGCTCTGGAACAATTGTCCCTCTTCTTGAAAGATATAGTAATTCAAGTCAGGGTCTGTCGAGACAATCAACGGTCTTCCCACCAAACTCGTTCGGAATATCGGTCCATACCTGAAACATTTAAGTGCTTTCCATAAGAACATGAGGAGACAGAAAAAGAACAAGAAGGAACATAACAAACCTATCCATTCTGTTTCTGACGAAAGGAGGAATATCAGAGGAGGTATTGGGAGCAAAGAACTGCAGGGTTTCACCAAGTAGAGGAAACCCCATTGAACCTGGTGGAAGTTTTCCATTACATTTGGGATTTCTCCATCTATAAAGCCAGTGTGTAAAACTTACAACAACAATAGCTCCAATCAAAAGAAGCCACATTCTGGGTATAAATAGGAACAGAGAAGTTCCAAAGAAGAAATATATATATGATTGATGCACGCTGAAATGGAAATATTGTCAGAAGGAGAAGGGGGTGAGTGGTGCTTGGATGTGGGGAAGAGAATAATCAGAAAGCAGAAGAAAGTGCTGGCATGTATCTCCCTTTGAGTAACATATGAGTGAGATCTTATCATCATATATAGCCTCATTGGACATTACAACTAGTTAAGATAGTAAATTAAATCTTGTCCTCTTCCCTCTCTCTCTCTCTCTCTGGACCCTTTATTTAATACAAAATTCAATTCAATTCAATTCTAAAATATGGCTTACAGGTAGTTAAGAGATTGAATAAAATAAGTGTTTAGTGTTCTGTCTAAGACCACAACTCCATATCATTTGTCAAACCCCATATTTTAGATCTCGTGTGAAACTTACAGGATGCTTCCTCCACTCCCCTCTCACCCTTTGTAAGATAATACCTCATCTTAAGCCACCATTTTCAAACCAAAAGAAGAAGGAACACGAGGGCAGAATAATGCCTTATTTTAAGGAGCTTTTGCTTAAACAGAAGGGGTTTTCTTCATATATTTTTTTTTTAAAATTGAAAGGGTCTGTTTGTTTCTCTGTAAAGTTCCAAAGTATCTGAATCACTAAATCATCAATGGAAAACCAATCTTTCATTAGATCATTAAAGGCTCAAACGAACATCAGATTTTTCACACCAAACACAGGAAAATATTCCTCAATATCTATGTTAAATACCAGAGTATCTAAACCTCCAGGATTTGATCACTATAAACAAAGCCAACATGGTGTTATTTTACAAAAATTTGTCGCGTTTTCTCTTCCTAGATCTTCCGCTTTAGCTGTAACCACCACCCAATATTCCCCATATCATACTCAAATCTTGTTGCTTACATCAATTGGAGATATGGATGAAGAACATTTGAACAGCAAATCAGCAGTAAACGATTATGCACACCAAGTGTTTGTAAAAATGTTTCTTCCATATTTCCATAAGTTAGGTATGTAAAAGGTGGAGAAACTGATTAAACACACCTTCTTCCAGACATGGAGCTCCGTCCCAGAATGCCATTGAGCCACAAACTCCAAAAATTCCATTATCAATGCTACAAGTTAGATCGATAGGTCACTGTGCGGCTAGCGAAACACAATAATTGAGAGCTTTTAGCCCTCTCAATCCGATAATGCGCCTCAGAAACTAGGGTTCATAGTAGAATTGCTCCATATGCAAAGCTCAGGGCTCGATTGTTTCTTCAATTTTTTTTTTGTTTCTCTTTGAATGTTTCTCTCTGGTTTTTGTTCTTCGTTTGGAGTCATCATTCACTCATTCAAAAATTTAAAAGAATATAATTCTTTTTTAATTTCTAAATTTTATTCGATATTCTTTTAAATTACTAATTTATACTTATATTTAATAGTTTAAAAAATTAATTTTTGTACAAAATTAAGCTCAAGAATAATTCTATTAAAATTCATAAATTAAAAAACTAAACAAAATAACATAGTTATAATTTATTAATTGAGGTAAAAATTTTACGGTAAAATTCATAGCATCTTTTTAAGTTTTAAATTCATTTGATTTTAAAAGTTTAATTGGATTAAATTCAAAGCCTAAGGTAAATTTGTCTTCTTTTAGGGTAATTCTTTTTTTCTTTTATTTGAGCTAGTGTAATTATTATCATTTTAATTAAATTATTAAGCTAAAATGATAATAATTTTAAATGCAGTTGCTTAAGTTATTAAATTAAAAAATTATTATCATTTTAGTTTAATAATTTAACTCAGCGTGTCAATTATGTCTAATTTATTGAATTATAATTAAATTAATACAATTTTCACGATAGCATTAATAAGAAATTTTGAAAGGTTTAAATTAATATTTAATAACCCTCGTAAGCATTTGGATATGCAAACCTCTAGTTCACAAATGTTAAAACTCCCAAATTAATTTGATTTTACCTTAAGGGAAAGTAAAATTCGGATTACCTTGTTGATCAAATATCTCAAAACATGAACACTTGTTTGATATTCAAATCATTTCACAAGTAAGATCGATCATGTTAAGCTTAAATGATTCTAAACATGTAATCTAAATTACATATAATTGCACGGAAACGTAACCCTAATGGTAAATGAATCACTTCAAGGAAAAGTTAATTAAATTTGGATTACCTTATTGATCAAATATTTCAAACCAAGAACATTTGTTTGAAATTCAAATCACTCCACAAGCAAGATCAATCATATCAAGCTCGAATGATTCTAAACATACAATCTAAATTATATAGAATTGCAAAGAAACTTAGTCATTGGCTAAAGACGAGCAAAAATTATATCTTTACTACATTTGTCATGTCAAATCCATTAGCCTCAAAATTAAAACCCTTCGTGTGGCACGAGGCATTCAAAAAGTTGTAACTTTCATACCTTATGACTATAATTAGTCACTCTGTATAGTCATAATTAGTCCGTGTCTAAAAATGCCTTAAAATACATTAAAGAAACATCATAACTCTAAATTATCATTCAAAAAATTGGTCACATGGGTAATTGCTGAAATTTATAAATGTGGTAAGAGTTATAAGCTGTGTGTGTATCGAGTAACCAAACAACTATTGGTCACTAAAGAGTAATTGCTCAAAACTATTTTAGGTGAGTAGATTACATTGTGTGATACAGAGTAATCAACCATCAAGATCTCTTGATTTTGATGGATGAACTATATGATAATTTGCATGTCTGACTCCAATAGGGGAGAACCTTACCGAGTATTTTCATATTCACTCTATTTTAAAATGATTTTCAAGTAAAACCAAGACTGTAGCATAGGAGTGACGAGTATGGTGGAAAGAACGACCATAAAACGACTTAGAGTTTTATGTTTGAATTTATTATTTAAGACGTTTCGGTGTTAAACTAATTTTATTATTTTAAGTTTTGTTGAATGTATTAAGATATGATATTTGGAGATATATTTTAATAATTAATTAGGAGTATATCTGAGATATTTAGGGATCTGTTAGTAGTATATTTTATGTTAGATTTAGATTTGATCAGTTCTATATTATATTTTTCCTATTTTTAGGTATTAGGTGATAGTTTATATCCTATTTAAACGGGGTAAACATGAATGAAGATCATACTTTCGATCCCAATTCAATTATCTTTAGCACGTTTGTATGTATTTTAAATTATAAATTATCGTTACATGGTATGCATCATCTAACGAAACTGCGAGACCTCATGCATGTTGTGTGCCATAGAACATAAATTACTTCTCCTTATATGTTTGTACAAACACGTACCTACAAGAATGATTTTGAGAAATATAATAATATAAAAAACGAAAGTTTGATATATTGCCCCGAATAGACGCTACGTATATATCTGTATGTTGCCTTAACACGAAACACTTGGAAAATGAAAGATTAAAATAATAAAGTTTAAAAATATTTAAAACCAAAAAGGAAGAAGTAGGAAGGTTTAAAGGAATAAAATAGTAAAGTTGCTGCCCCCTTTAATGACAGCTCTTTTGCTTTCAGTTTTGAACACTTTTTTCAATACTCAATCAAAGACGTGTGCTTGCTATAAACACAAGCTATAAAACCCTAATATATATAATTAAAACGAACACGTAGACATAATTAATCTCAATTTGTTGGTTATGATACAAGCTCTCGTAGTTTTGCTTTCAGCTTCTCGACCTCATATCAATGAAATAGTAGCTCTCGTAGTTTTGCTTTCAGCTTCTCGACCTCATATCAATGAAATAGTAAGCTCTCGTAGTTTTGCTTTCAGCTTCTCGACCTCATATCAATGAAATAGTATTCTTTGATTATAAACTCATAATCATTTCCTAAATTAGTCGATGTGGGATTTGTTATTTAGTTTTGGAAAATGGTAAGCATTAAAAAATTATTTTGTATTTAATATAATTTTTTTTAATCCAATTTAGAAAATTATTTTTTAATGAGTGATTAAACAAGATAATGGAGTTGGAAAATTAATTTGAGCTATTTTTTTAAATATTATTGGAAAAAGCGGATTTTTTTAATGGTTGGGAAATTATTCTAATTTTTTATTTTCGTATCTAACCTAAATTATACTTCAAATGAAATACTAAATATTAAATTAATTTTTTTAAAATTATTAAATATATATTGATAATTATTTAATGAGTAAAGTTGACTATAATTATTTTAAATGCTAATAATAATTCATAGAGATAATCCTAAAAAAAATGTTCATGGTTAAAACAAAATCATTTTTTTTTTTGTTTGCAATTTTAATAATTTAAAGTAGATTTGGTATAATATTTTTTTTAAAAATAAAAAGTAATGTAAATTTATGACAATTGTGAATAAAAAAATATATAATTAATTATTTATAAAAAAATTTGTATTGAAAATGAAATAAACTAATATATTTGATAAATTTAGAACTTGGTTTTCACACGACTTTTTAAAATAGTCATTACAGGTGAAAATTAGTCATAAAATCGAATTCAAAACTCATATCAAGCCAACCCAATAATAATTGGAATCGAGGCACAGTTTAAATAAGAGAAAAAGTTAGGTCCATTCGTCATAGCCGTCTAAATACTGTGTGACCAACACCTAAATAACTCTCTGTTAAGGTCTTGGATGTCCGACTTCCAAAGGGTATGGCCAAGAAAAGTGTCATTATTGGCTATTTCCTTAATTTCAACCTTGAAACCACGGTCATTTTGGCATTTTGAGTAGCCGCTCGTGGTCATTATTGACTCTTGGTCGACTAAGGCTAATAGGCCAAAATGACCCTAAAAGAATTGTCGAGAAGTTCACCAATAAAGCAACTATCAAAGTCTGATACTTTATGGTTTGAATTTGATGGGATGTAATATAATTTTTTCTTTTTTCCATTTTTTAGCATCAAATATATATATATATATATATATTTAAAATAAACAACTTCTAAATTATTTGAGAATTTTGCAAAAAAAAAAAAAAAAAAAAAAACCAGTTATAACTACCAAGAATTTAAAGGGTGTTTAGAGAACATGGCAAGATCTTCTGTAATCCATTGCTTTCAATGACTTTTTGTCCCATGATCTTCTAGATTTCGATCAGACGGTCAAGAAACATCCATCAAAGTTGACTTAGAAGAAATATGATTGGCTCTCAATTAGTTGTTCACCACCTTTGGATGTCTGCCACGTGTCTAAATCACAACCCATCATTCCAGCTGCCAATTGACGCTTCTACAGCAATAAAATTAGTGAAGGTCGGTTGAAAAATGATTTTTAATTTTCAATTCTTTAATGAAGCACGATCCCCCAAATATGGAAATAAAAAAATACATTATAAAATAATTAATTATATTAATGAGATTTTTTAATATAAAATATTGGAAAATTATTTTTCAATAATTTTGTTTGTCCTCATTTTAATTTATTACCTAAACATATGGCGCCTATATAATATTTTATAATTACATTTATGTTTGTAACCAAAAGTAATAATATTGAAATTATAAATAAACTAAATCCTAATAAAAGATTAGATTTAACATTAAATATAATACAAATTATATACCAAATGTCGAACTTTCAAGCTTCACTCGAATTAACAACTATACTCGGGAAGTCATTTAGTCTTGATCAGACACATGTTACTATGAGAGATGATGAAACTAGCCATCATTTAGACCTGCCTAGTGAGGCCGAGTAACAACCTAAACACGTAATTCAACTCAAATGGTATGGTTTGGGTTAAGTTAGGAACGTATTTGGGTTGGATTGGGTTCAAATAAATGAAAATTGGTTTTAACCGAACTACTTACTTAAATTTATTATTAGTATTAATAAAATACATATTTACTTACGATACAATCATATATACATATATTCATTCAACTTCATAATTATTTTTTCTTACAAATAAATTTTAACTATTATGAAGAAAGATTTTCAAATTTAGTGGTAAATCTTAACCAAATATACTATAAACAACTTGAATAACTTGAATTATTGGGTTCTGTCGATTGGATTGTGTTTATTATTTAACCAGACAATTGGGTTAGGTCTAAAAAATGTCCAAACCTAACCGAACCCAAATTATGAGCATCTCAGTATTTCTGCAACGAATTTACAACTCGGACAATTGAGTTTGGTCTAAAAAATGTCTGAATCTGACCGAACCCAAATTACGAGCACCTCTACTAAAGGTATTTCTGCAACGAATTTACAACCCGGACAATTGGGTTAGGTTTGAAAAATGTCTACACCCAAATTACGACCACCTCTACTGAAG